GACAGATACGTGGGGCACAAGAAATTAAAGAAGAAAAAGAAGAAAAAAGACAAACGGCACAAGCACCATCACAAGGACAAAAAGAGACGAAGAGAGGAGTCGAGTCAGGAATCAGTCGGCGACGCTGACGAGAACCTGGCCGAGGTACCGAAAAAGATCCCTAACCATCAGTTATTACCTCCTAGGCCGCCATCCTCCAGCGGCGAGTTGCGAGTTGGAGTTGGCAATATAAGCTCCTTGTCGCCACATCGCGAGCCCAGGACGTGCGTCCTTAGGAAAATCGCGGAGCGCACGCCGCTTCAGAGACTGTTGGAGCATCTTTTGAGGTCGATGGAGAAGCGTGACCCGCAGCAGTTCTTCGCCTGGCCGGTCACGGACAGCATCGCGCCCGGCTACTCTCAGATCATCACCAATCCTATGGACTTTAGCACCATCAAGCAAAAGATAGACGACAACAACTACCAGAATCTGAACGAATTCGTGGACGATTTCAAGCTCATGTGCGACAACGCCATGACCTACAATCATCCCGACACCATCTACTACAAGGCGGCGAAGAAGTTGCTGCACGTCGGCCTGAAGATGGTTCTGCCGGAGAAGCTGCGGCAGCTCAGGCCGGTTCTAACATACATGCACGACATCTCGAAGGAGGAGCTCGGCTTCGAGTTGGGCACTGAGGATCCTAACAACCCGGACGCTCCGGTGACGGAGGAGCAGATCGAACGGGAGCGCGAGCAAGAGGAGCGCAACGAGGAGGCCGAAGAGTTGAGGAAAGAGAATCAGAGGAAGATGAGGTTAGCCAGCTTGGGCAAGTTCGAAGCGATACCTGACGACCTGACGCCGGAAGAGATACTGAAGCAGGCGAGGGGCGCCGCGAAAGCGGCGTCGGAGAAACTGAGTCTGAAGAGGGTCAACTCGAAGATGGGTTTCCTCCGACAGAAGAAGGACGGCACCACTAGTCTGCAGATCATCGTACCCGGCGACGGGATCATCCCGGGCACCAATCAGAGGCCCGTATCACTAGGGCAATTGATAGGAAAATTGAACCACGGCACAGGAGCGTTAGCTGGATTCCGCGAGGACCGTAGAAACATGTCGAAGCCAGTGAAGCCTCTGTATTACGGCGCGTTCGGCTCCTACGCGCCTAGTTACGATTCGACGTTTGCGAATCTTACCAAGGAGGAGACGGACCTCGTATATCAGACGTACGGAGATGAAACCGCGGTGCAATACGCAGAGTCAATCTTGGACTTCGCTAAGGACTGTGATTACACGTTGACTATGGTCGATGATCTGCTGGACATCCTCACGGGCGGCGATCATAGGAAGACGAAGAAGTTCCTCGAGGAAAAACGAAGACTGAAGGAAGAAGAGGAGAAGATTCAGCACCTGCTGGAGAAGCCTAATCAGGATGTGAATCGCAACATTCCGTCACTGGATAAGGTGAAGGTCGACATCGAGCAGCTGAAGACTCTCTCGGAGCTCGGGATCGACGTTAACTTCTTGGAGAATTTAGGTAATTATCGGCCTCGAGCGAGACTGAACGGTCGAGGCTTCTTTTCGCTAAATCTCCGCGATCGGAGTTTGCTCCCTTGCTTCCCCCGGTTAATTACACGCAACATGTTATTTGCAGAGGAGGAACTGAAATTCAGCGAGGAACGCGCCGCTCTTCAGACCCGTTTGGACGACACTTCGCAGATGCTGGGCCGGCTCAAGCAGGTCCAGCACGAGCGTCTGTCGGCGCCACCACCGGCGCACCTGTCTAACGTTTCCAAGGCGACGGAGGCCGAGGTGACGTTAGCCGAGAAGATCACCGATAATCTCACCGACATAGCGAAGAAACTGCCACCCTCCGCGATTGCGCCCGTCGACGGCCTGCGAAAAGCGATGGGCATTGCACCTCTGGGAGGTGGACCTGAGCCGATGGAAGTCGAGCCGATCGCGCACAACCCCACGATTGTCGCCGAGAACTCGTTGCTACCGCCGAGCAACGGCAATCAGGTTCTGTCTAACTTGTTGCCGACGCCGTCGCCGATACAGAACGCGAATCTGCTCAGTCCGACCGCCCAGCAGAGCCAGAACATCAGCATCGTCGGCGGCGCGAATCAGCCGCCGATTCAGATGCAGATCGGCATAGCGCACAACCAAACGCCGCCGTCTTTGCTGAGCGCGACGGAGCCGTCCGGCGTGACCGATCTCGAGTCTGAGCTGCGCGAATTCCTGGAGAGCGATCCCACGCTGGGCCACTCGCCGCTTCACGACGACAAGACCTTGGAAGATATCTTATCCGCGTCTTAATCCGCGCGTGCGTGTATGTACGCATGTGCGTGTGAATGTAATATACGAATGCGTGTATATGTCGTATCTAAAGTGTGACGTAATTTTGGAACATAAATTAAGTAATATTTAAGCTATGTGGGCTCTGTACATTTTACTACTTATGCCCGTGTTTCTCAAGTACGAGTAATAAATCGAGCAGTACATTGTACATTTCTTCTCACCCGCTGCGTCTTCCGCTTTATCTCATTTTACGGCGGAGACGCCGGAAAAGTCCCAGCGTGTAAACCGAGCCTCAGCCGAGCCTAACGTCGCGTTCGATCGGAAATCAATTCTCGTTCCCTTCTCTCTGAATGTACCTTTATGCGTGAGATACCTTACGATGCGATTTAACATACACAGACACGCTCGCGGTTTTATATCGCGGGTGGGTCGGTATACGTAATAACCATTACCACTTTGACTATCATCAAGATATGATAGGAGGAGGAGGAGGAGGACAAAAATGGCGTTAGCTCTTTGCTCAAGCGCGATCGTCTTGCGGCTTCTTACAGTTAACGCTTTCTTCGCTCGCCACTTTATCCCGAAGGAGATCTCGATGACGATATACCTCAACGCCAACACGTTCAAGATGGGGTAATATTCTCGCTGCCTCATTGCCCGTGCGATAATAACCACGCGTAATTTTCGAGTCTAGCTGGGGCTGTGGATCGTCTCGAGAGGGGAGAGAAATATTCGCCGCAGGAATTCTCGACGCCTTAACACGACGAATGTATCGTCACCTGAGTGTGGTGGTTTCTCAGCGTTCCTCGTCTCCGTTAAACGCGATATTGGCCTAACGAAATCTACGGTGCGTCCGACAGGGGACGCATTATCGTCGCACCACGGCGAGCGCAGCTCCGCCACTTACGCGGCGCGCTGCCGCCGCCGCAGCGGCATGAAAGAAGCGCACCTATCGATTATTGACAAGTGCAGTCGCTGCGTTCCGCGTGCCGCGAAGCGCAGAGAGAAGGAGAGCGCGCGAGAGGCAGGGGGAAGGGAAATCAAGAGGAAACCGCCGCCGCACGAACGCCTGGATCGTCGCCGCGCGCCGTTCGAGGACGAAATCAATCGCGGGCGCGCTCTCGCGATGAGCCGCTGGGGGGATAATGCCCCCGCACACACAGCGGTGCACTGTGTATCGCGACGAGGATTCGGATACCGGATATACCGCCGCGAACGATCCGAATTTCGAGGAGGATTAACGCGCGATTGAATGCGAGGCCGCCGGAGGCGAAGTCGGGATTAACTCGGGGGGGGCTGTACTCGCCAGCTCCGGCTGCTTCCGCGAGAGAAAATCAGAGAGGTACATATATAATAAACTCGAGACACAATCTCGAACCTTCACCTATATCGGCCTTCGACTTTGCCACTTGCCTCTTGCCTCCCCCCCCGCCTCCCTTCCCCCTCTCCCCCCCGGGGAATTGCTTATTTCTCGCCGAGTCGGAGGAGCGCACGAGCAACGCGTAATTAAATAATCTCCTTCCCCATCCACCCCCTTCCTGCTAAGTTTTAATTAATTTAACGATTAAGGAAGCGAGAGAGAGGGGGGGGGAGAAAAAGGAGAGCCAATATCGAGCGGCCGATTTTCGCTCGAAAGTATCGGAAGCGCGCCGGCTCGAGCGGCTAATTGAAGTGTACATTCCCGATAGAGTGGCGATTGCATTAACGAGCAACACGCTCGTGCCGGTCAACTATCGCGTTTCGCTGCGCGCTTATCGCACGTTTGCGTAGGTAAGAGAGAGAGAGAGCCGGCCTCGCGAGCCCGCTCTTCGCGGCGCTCTCCACGGTGCGTGCATCCCTCGGGGATGTTTGCTCGGTAATAGGATTACGCCGTGAGAATGCGGGAGTTCATTCCGGCCGATCGGAGGACTTACCGGGCCTCTCGGCTTCGCGACAGGCTCTCGTCGTCGTCACGAGCGAGATCGACGGCAGGGTCGCTGCGAATGCTAATTAATCGTCAAGCGTTTTTACACTGAGAGAAAAGTATATGATACTTGGAACTGGAATAATGATATAGTAACTAAATTGTAGTCCGAAATATCATATTTATAGTAAGTATTACCATAATATCGGTGATAATTACGATACGAGCACAGTGTAATCAAGCGTATAATATTTTTACTAAGAATTATAGTAAGTTAAACTAAAATTATTGTATGGATGCAAATATAAAATGGTAGATAAAGTAACTCTTTCGTATGGTCAATATTACCAGAATATTTGCTATGTGATGACAGACATAACTATATGAATATTAAATCTCACTATATTTGTGAATGAGAAATTACCATATATGTGGTAAAAGTAACTAAACAATTGTTTAAGACAATCATTGACTATATATTTGTGTGTATTCTACTATATTTTGCAGGTTTCACGAACTATAAAAATATGGTTGACGCCAAAATGAACTATAAAATATAGTGAGATTATAGTTAATTCAACTATATTTTTCTATCAGTGCGCTCGCGTAGATTCTCCTCGACGACGAGTCGAATGCTCGAGGATGAGTCGAGACCCCGACACGAGGTACGTTCGCGTGTACCGCGTCGGGATAATTCGCAGCGTGCGCGGGACTCACACTTTGTCACGGTGGGATCTCAAAAGCGTCTCAAAAGTCCGCGTAATCCGCAGAACACTGCGCGCGTTGACAGGTTAATTAAGCCACATTCCGCTGTTTCGAAAGTCCGCGGCGGACGTGTAAATGACATGCTCGCGCGGTCTTCACGCGGCCGGCCAGCCGTCTGTCTGTCTGTCTGTCCGATCGTCCGCACGTACGTGCGACGCACCCGCGAGAGAACTCGCATTTCAGCCGAGCTCGCTTGGTCCGCATCGATTTCTTTATGAGCGCCGATTTCGATGATGAGCGAGTGCCCGGCAAATATGCCCGCCTTTTGCGTGGCGCGCGCGCGCGCTGCCACGAGTTGCCGACGAGATCGCGACTGAATTATTCGACTGTTATTATTCCTCTTATCCGATCGCGATATCACGGACTCCCCGGTGAAGCTTCGACGATCTTCGCGCGCCCGGCAGATGATTTCGAATTCGAGATGATTAATTCTCTGATTAAAGTTTCACTCGCACGCTCCGCTCTCCTCGGAATCTCATTTTCATAAGGGGATATATTTGATAATGCGCCTTCGCGACGTCACGTGGGTCACCATATTTGGAAAATTACTCCGCTTCTCGATGAAGGGGACACAGTCGAACGTTCTAAACGACTAGAATTCCACGCGTTTTGGGGATGCGCGGGTCGCCAGTCTGGCGTTTCACGACGCGGCGACGCATCTTTTCGAAGCTCGCCGAGTCGCCGAGAGTCGCTGCAGTTTGCACTGTACTTGCATTTGCCTTCTGGAGGCTGCGACGTGCGAATATAAATGAAAATATGTTTCGCGCTCGGCTTGGAAATGAAGTCGATGTCCGATTTGCATCCGCACGTTGATTATCGCGGTTGAGACGCGTCGGCGAATTTTTGTCGCTAAGGTCCCGCGGGAGAAATTGCCGCTTTTCCATATTGGCATAAGGTATGAGAGAGAGAGAGAGAGAGAGAGAGAGAAAGAGAGAGAGAGAGAGAGAAAGAGAGAGAGTGAGTGCATCTCGCTCGAGTCCTCTTTTACACCGCGTCGTATTTTATTTCACAACGCTGCACTTTATCTCACCCGCGAGAAGCGGATAGGGCCGGGAGAGAGACCGCGATGACTTTTCCACGAGAAACTTTATAAATAAAACGAAGCTAAGAAAATGAAGTATTTCACACATCGCACAAATTTCGCAAAAATTATTCGTCGACCGCGAATCTTTGAAAAATTTCCATGCACTCTCGCTCGATCCTTACTTGCGCGTTTTAAGCTTGCGGCGTTAAAGTATATTTTAACTTGTCAAAAAAAGAATATATATATATATATATTATTAAATTATTAAAAAATATGTATATTAAATGTATATATATAATAATATATATATAATATTAAATATATATATATATATATATGTGTGTGTGTATATGTGTTAAAAACATGCACGAGAAATAATTTAACCTTTTCACAAAGTTATCGCACGTCTGAGAAAACTTTTTCGCGATAAAAAAGTCTCCAAAGGGAGAGAGCGAGAGAGAGAGGGAGAAAGATATGTAGGTTACCGCGAAAATTTGTCGATATTCGCACACGCGAATGCGTCTGAAGTGTTCGGTCTGGGTGAATATTTCATATATTCCATATATTCCAACAATATTAAATCCGTGGACGGACGACGGGTTGAAACGCTCGGCACGAGCGGGTTTCCGAAGAGCGCCGTTTAATCTCTCTCATCGTTGAAGACCAGATCCCGATTTTCCTTTATTACTGAAACGTTCGGAGCGATTCGTTAAGAAAGCGACTCATGATTAAGAGTACATGCGGGACGACGTTCCGCGCGTTTATACCGGCGAAATTAGTTATACATTACCGCGCACGGACTGCTCCGAGTAATCTCATTAGAGGATTGAGAGTAATGAATTAGTTACACGCGAGAGAAGTCTCGGCCGCGCTATACTAATAGATGTGAATAATTTAACGCGCGCTACATTCGTCAGGCGGCCGATCAAATTCCATTTTATTCTTTTATTTAGGCGCCGCCTTCGAATATATCGCGACCAAAAATATCGCCGATTATTCAAGACACTCCGTCGTGTCTATGCGATACGCATGGCGTCATTATTACATATGGTAGTCGCTTTAACGCGGAATCTGCTCTCGCGAGAGAGGAGAAATCCGGAATCGAGCTCGCGGGTCGTCGTGTCGCACGCTGAGCTTTCTTTTGTGACATAAAACGTCGAATAATAGAGAAGCGCACAAATATTTTAAACATCGGAAATCGATATCGTCTTCTTTTTCCGTACGTTTTAATCAAGAAGTGAACTAGATTTATTATCTAGTAGCGCAGAGAGAGAAAGAGAGAGAGAGAGAGAGAGAGAGAGAGAGAAAGAGAGCGTTAGATCGGCGCGAAAGGTTCGTCGTGTCTCGCGCGAATCAAATTGAAGACGAAATTATCCAGTCTCTCGAGATATTCATAATCCATATGAATAAAACAAGCAACGTCGGTTCGAATATCCCCAGACATCCAACGCGTTCTCCTCCTTTCTTCCTTTCTTAGTATTCTTTTGACAAATCCGAACACACAATCGAATGGAATCTCCCTAAGCTA